CACTTGAGATTCGCGACTCGACTCATTCCATCCCCCTGATTCGGCATCCCCGTTGCTGAAGAAATTAGGAGGGGTCAGGTATCTTGGACCGAGTGTTCGAAGAGGGGAACCTTCCCCTTCGATAGAATTTATTATTGATTTTGTCGTTTCGTGCACCGGTAGGGATGACTGGATACGATTGATAAAGCACCACTTTTGACCTCTCTTAAAAATGCAAAGTGACTTTTGCATAGATGACAATCAACGAGGAAGAATACTTCATTAAACTACGATGGTTCAAATCTTTTGTGCTGCTTGTTTCAGTTTTTTATACAACTGGCATCAATATCTCTTTATTACACCGGTATAATAAATCTTTCGGTGCTTGATTCTATATTGAAGTTTGATTTGTTTAATTGATTACCAATTACTGAACATTCCCTTTGCTTTATTCCCTGATGTTCAATGGACATTGTGCTGAATATTGGAAATTATGAGTGATGAATTTTCTGTCAATTATTTTGGAATATTTGTTCTTGAAATGTTATTCGTTCACATTCACTAGGTTGTGAATGTATATCCTTAGTCCGTATCTTGGATAAGTGTAAAGGAGTACAATTTTTGTAATAGCAAGCAAAAATAAGGGGGAACATTGTAAACTTGTAACTACTTTCATATTGTACTTTTGATGAAACCTTTTGCGTGAGGTTTCTCAAGATTTCTAACTCTACGTATTTGAACGTATCGTTGAACGAAAGCATGTATAAAATATATTCTGTCACGAACAATTTCGTTACCTTTAACTGTAAACTATAAATTCATAATATAAGAAACAATATTAGTAATTGGTAGAATAGTATAAACAATATTAACAACGAAAAATTGTACATATTATTACTAAATTACGAAGTTGTACTACATCTCTCCTCACCCCAAAACCACCCCTTAGTTTCTTCAAATTTTTTAATAACCTTTACTTCGATGCATGTCAACCAGATTTCTAATTTAACGTGTAGTAGACAAAATTGAAAACTTTTCTTCAAAATCGTCGTTTTTGTACCTGCGAAGTTAAGCATCTACGATTAACCAGAAACTAGTAACAATTCTGGTTCGAAGAATAAGATGCGACGGAGGTGCACGTGCAGATGGGGCGGCAACGGGTGGACTTAACTAATCCTAAGTAAACATCGCCACCTTCCCGCACAGCTACCTGTCTGACCAAACATTTGTCTTTACTACTCGGTTGATTAAACGCCCGCCATGTTTATACTGTATTCGAGCTTTCGCTGTTTCTACTGCGTGTCGTGGTGATCGCGCGGTGTTGTTGAACGAGGGATAAACACGAAAGAAAGAAATTCAATCGGTGAGATTTCTTGTGGAGATGGAGACTTCAGTATTTATAAAAATCGAATTTAGTATGCTGTATTCGAGAGCAAATCGAGTACTATTGGCTGTGGAGTTATTGGGATATATGGGTCAGGTATCGTCGAGTTTGGTACTCGTGAAATATATTTCATAAGTTTGTATGTCGTGATCGATTTATCATATGTGATTATATGTGTCATGAACTGTATGTTATTATTCATATGCTTTTACTGAACTGTATGAACAGTTTAATATAGGGGTGTTGGTTAAAGGAGAGGTACATCATATTTATGTAGTACATATTTAGAAATTTTTAAACACATGTTTTATTTTTGCAAGTTTTTTAAAGCTCACACTACAAAATTTAGAAGATTCTTCGACCCTTAAATCTCCAAACGTCAAATCTCCAAATTCATGAATTTCTAGAAGTTCAATAGTTCAGTTCAAAGATCCAGAGATCTAAAAGTTCATAAATTAAAAGATCTGCAAAAAAACCAAAGTTCTAATATTTCTGAACTCTCAAATATCTGAATTTTCAAATTCGCACATTCGTGAATAACGAAATTCTGAAGTCCTTGAATTCCTAACCTACCAAATCCCTAAATTTCCAAATTCTGAAATCTGAAAATTCTAAAATATCTAAATTATAAAGACCCTAAATTCCTGACCTACCAAATCCCTAAATTTCCAAATTTTGAAATTTGAAAATTCTGAAATATCTAAATTCGGTAGCCCCTAAATTCCTAACTTACCAAATCCCTAAATTCTCAAATGTTGAAATCTGAAAATTCTGAAATACCTAAATTCTGAAATCCCTGAATTTCTAACCTATCAAATCCCTAAATTCTCAAATTCCGAAATCTGAAAACCCCTATACTTCTCAATCTACAACACTCCAAAATTAGTACCCCAAATCCTTAAATTACCAAATTTCTAAACACGCAAATACTCAAATCTCTAAAATTCCCATTTCCCCAATTCCCAAATTTAAATTAAAATATTCAAGTCAATATTGTACAAAACGAATATACTAAATTAGACATTCCACGTTCTACAAATAACACAATAAAATCGTCTACATTAAAATAATACGAGAGAAGAGAATGAAAGGGGTCACGAAGAAGCGAAGTCCATAAAGAGCGTAGAACAAAAGAAAAAGATAGATTAAATCTTGAAAAAGAATGTTGATATGGAAGAGAATTACCATAAAAAGAAGAATGACAGTAAAAGCACTGTAAATACCAGCAAGGAAAGAATGAAATTGTATACATTCTCTAAAAGAAAATTTCAAGAGCGCGGATAAAGGTGTAATGCGATCAACATCAGAGAAATGGAAACTCGGTTGAAGAGAAAATACAGTGCTGAAAGCGCGATGTAGAAATTCTCTGAGGAAGAAGCAGAAGCATCAGAAAACGACGTGCCTTGCTCGGAAAGAAAATTATAAGTGAAGAAATGCTTGACGGTTAAAGGCAAAGCTTTTGCGCATATCGGAAACGAAAAGAGAGCCAGAGAAAAACATGAAAGGTCTGTCAAAAACAGATCCGCAGATTGTGCGAACAAAGAGGGTAATCAGGTAATTATTAGTTTTTAATTGATATCGGTAATTTGTTATTATTGATCCATAACATTACTGTTCGTTTTCGTTGGTTGGTTCTTTGCCTTACAAACCCCTTGTTAACCATCTTTCGGCATTTTTGATCATTTTTATGGAGGTTTTGACTTATTTTAAGTAAGGTTGATTTTTCGATATAAAGTTAAATATTAGATATTCTTACTCGATACACTATCGAAAATTATCCTCAAATTTTCGAAAATATATGAGTTTGTTTAGTACTTGATATTGTCCCTAATATTAAGTACAGTATACTTAGGTATGTTATTTTTAAATGTAGTTAAGTATAAACTTAATACCAGGGATAATATTAAATACTCTAATAATAACTAAAGATAATTTTGATCAAACCACACAAATTTACAAACAAAAGAATTTAAATTCAAAATATAAAATTTCGCATAAGTAATACGTGTTATAATAAATATTTTAAGCAAAAAATACACCATCCATGTTTTGAAAAATATGTGTTACGATTGCCAATAATTTTCATAGTGATGCAATGCGTTATCAGATTCAACAATCGCAAGAATAGATGAAATTTTTCATAGAGGAGTATTGATTTAATCAGAAAGCAAATACCGGAACACGCTGTATTTCGTCTGATTTTCCTACGAACGCTATCATATATTTCCTCGATTCGTGCGGGTGAACGATTTAGCGTGTGTTTGAACGAGTAAGCGTGAAACAAAGGGGAAGAGAATCGTTTACCTATGCCGCTCGCATACGTCTAATTTATCACTGTCTTTTTGTCGATGTTGCAAACGGCTTCGCTCGTTCTCTTTTACGGCCTTCTGTGTCTTTTCGCCTTTTGTTTGGCCTTTCGTTTAATTCACCCGCTATTTTTCGATGCCCCATTGTCGGCTAGTACTGAACCTGGCCCCTGATTAATTCTACGGTTCAGGTAGGCGCGAAAGGCAAGAATTGCTTTCGGATTTAAGACTTTCATTCCCTGGATAATAAGACCCTCTGTTTAACCACTGATTATCGACTACCCTTTTGTTCAATGTGACTGTGTACGTGGAAAGACACGATGAAACGTTCGAATTGTAAAAAAGAATAAAAAGGAAACAAGGGTAGAATTTGCAAAAATATAAAATACAGCTGAATGTTGAAACAGGAACAAAATAATAAAAATGATCGATTTGGTAGAGTCCTTAGGTAGTACAGAACTACCCCTTTGTTCAACATGGCTGTGTACACGAAAACACACGATGAAATGTTTGAATCGAGAAAAAGAATATCAATGAAACAAGAGTCGAATTTGTAAAAAGATAAAATACAGCTGAACGTTGAAACACGAACAAAATAATAAAAATGATAGATTTGGTAGAGTCCTTAGAGATGTTAGGTAGTACAGAACTACCCCTTCATTCAACATGACTGCTTCAGAACACCATGAAATTTTTTAACACAGAGACCAAATAACAACGAAGAAGACTTCACAAAAAATTAGAATACTGCTAAACATTGAAACACAAAAAATAGACATTAAAATTAAGTATTTCGTAAATCAAGTTTCGTGCAATTTTCTTACCACTCCTACTTTCAAGACTTCCAATTTAGAGTTATGCTCTGTGTTTTACAGTTGCAGTTAAAAGTTATGTACGTCATCTTGCCCGAATGAAATTGTTAACCCTCGAACGGCGTTGCTTTGTGAAATGAATACAAAGGTCCACTGCTTAAATTAGGCAGTCAAATTTTTAAGAGACTCGTGTATTTGAAATATTTCGTCTATTCAGGTATCAAATACTTCTAAATAAAGTTTCATTATAGATTGAGATTTTTAGGTTCGAATATAATGTCAATCCACGAGTTATCGCGTGAGGCAAACGCAGCCTAATAAAAATTCGACCAAAAATCTATATGGTCCCCGTTAAAAAGTCAGATTGGAGAAATAAATATGGTCCGTCGTTAAATGTTAATAAATTGCAGATAAAATAGTAAGTTTAAAGATTCGTGGAGAATATGTTAAAATTTGTTGAGAATATGTCAGAATATCTCAAATTGAGAAGCAATTGGAAATTGAAAGAAAAATACTCACCACATTTGCCTTGGAATGCCACCGTGATATTAGCACCTTTTGCACAGGCTGCCCTATTCAACTCGCAGAGAGACGGATAGTCGATCCCATCTGTGCCGCACACAGGACCAGATCCTTCATGATCCCCTAAATTCGGACAGGACTCCAGACATTCGCAGGTTGCCTCGGTACCGTCCCTGCTTCTTACGCATTGTGAACCTTGGGTACAATTTAGTTTCGTACAGGGGTCCTTGATTTCTGCAACAAAAATCGATACATCGTCAATATTTACAAAAATACTAGACATTTTTCCTATAGTCAAATATATTTGAAACTGAGATAATTTATTATGATTTGCAGTTATAATGAAATTGTACGTTTGAAGGTTTTTGACGATTAAATACACTAAGGTGCTTTTTGCTTTAATGTAGGCTTTCTTGGTTTAAGTTAAGAAGGGAATGTAAGTTTGCTCAAATTTTCAAGTATCCAAATTTTCCCTAAATTGTCAAACTCACAAATCTCTGAATCTCTAAAATTAAAAATTCCCAAATTTCCAAATTATTCAAGATCTCAAATTCTGAAATTTTCCACATTCTTGAATTCTAAATTTCCGAACTCTCGATACATTCCGACATGAAAGTGTATTTAAAAACTTGCTATTATTATTTCCATTATCTTTACGTAATCTCACAATGCTATCGAGTGTACAACCCGCAAGCATATAATCTCTGAAAAATTATTTTCTACCAATTATAAAACCAATTTAGACATTCGTTTCAAACGAAACTTTTCCTACATACAGTTATACATTCATCAGTTATAGAATAACAGTAATAAAACGATTTCACAGAAAGCAACAATGTAGATACGTTTAATCGATAATTCCTTCACGGCATCATGGCATCAAAAGTAATTACTGACCACAAACAGGAGGCACACCATAAAGCGGCGTGAAATTAAATCAACGCGATTCACGATGAATAAAGTATCGTCTACGGGGGATTTAGCCACCGCGATAAAATACAGTCTACGAGCCGTGACCGTGTGCGGCCTTCGTCTCCTTTCTTCCTGGGATTTAAACAGATAAAAAGCTTCCGCGAATATTCAGTCGCTGCTAAGCCGGTGAAAATTTTTAATGGAACCGCCACCGTAGAATATAGAACGGTAAACCCAATTAAAACATTCTAGCGTTCGTCGGGATACGGTGATTCTTGGTTCTTCGTTTAAGGAAACGTCAGAAAATAACGGGGTTTTTAACAGGTTCCTGCTTTACTGAAACGCGGACAATTCTACATTTTAAACTGGTACTTGTCACTTCGAATGTGCAATTTTCCGGAATAATTCAAATATAGTTTCGTGGAAGCACTTTCGTCTTTGAATTTGAATTCTGTTTATTTGATTCGAATTTAACTATTTCGATTCTCTCGTTTAGACTTGCGACTGAGAATTATTTGTCCAAATAGCTTTGGTAACAGAATTTTAACCGGGTAGTTAAATACGAGAAGGTCCAGATATCTTGAAGAGGTCATTCCGAAAATAAATGAACGAAACTTAAATTATTTACGAATGCAATTAAAACGTTTCCAATTCGGACGAACCCTCGAAATAAGAAGAATATGAATTTGAGAAAACCGCGAGTTGAAGAAAATGCAGTCGCGACAAGAACAATTACAACTAAAATGAAAAAGGTCTTCATTTACTAAAATGACTAAAATACTTGATTAAAATTCAAAGATTCATGAATCATTCCGCGGATGTTCTCCTTCATTCGCATGCAAATTGCGCCGAGAAGTTGATCTAAAAATTATTTTCGAATATTTTATTCCGCAAGAAGATTCTCGAGACTGTGACCGCCTATGAGCCGTCTTTCTTTCTATCTTTAATTCTTTTTTCCCAGACTTCGTTACGCATTCCTGCAGATACAAATCGAGTCTCGTTAACCGAGAACAGAATACGAAGAGGCCGAGACGATGTCGTTTCGCTCGTTATTTGAGCTCAAGTACCTTTTGGGAAAACGTAGCAGCACTGGGATATCGTCAACGCGGTGCAGAGTATCAGAACGGCTTTGCCTATCATTGTCCCGGGCTTCATCCCTTCTGTGTTCCCTTCTGCAAATCAAACCGACCACTATTCATCTCGCCGCTATTACTCGCTGCATTTCACCGGCTCTCTTCTTTTCCAACGTCGGTCGACGGAATTGCACCGACGACCTCTGACACCTCTGAGCGGATCTCTCGGTGACACAGGAATTAGAAAGAGCGTTACGTCGCCAAATGGGAAATTTGTATGTGCAGGGAAATCGTGAATTTTAATACTCTCGAATTACAATACGATAATTTTCGAACTTTGGAATATCGAGGTTGCTACGAAAATGAAATAGGAAATTGTGCAGAGGTTTCACTATTAAATTTTTAAATAATATCGAGGGGTAAAATAATACCAAGCGTCGGAGTAAAATATTTGAAACAATATGCTATCTCTGATTAATAATTTATCAACGTGTATGAATTTTCAAGTGTTACTCCACCCTTAACCTTCCATTAACTATGACAGAAATTTAAAGATAAAATGGTGGAAAATTTGAAGAAGTAATGTGTTAAGGGTATATCGAGTTTGCTCAAAGGTGTCACAAGTAAATTATAATGGTACCGTACGGAAATCATACATACTCATACATTGTAAAAATCATAAAGGAACCAAATTAGGGAATAAATTGGGAAATAAAATTTTATGGTTAACCAAGTTTCAAGAAGTGTAATTACTTTTCCCATTTGAAACGATAAAGCTCACGTTCCTTTCGGGACGATTTCAACGGAACATAAACCTTGACGAGTTCTAATATAGCCCGGCACTTTTCTTGGTCGTAAAGCTTGTGATTTTCTGGCTGCTGAGGTCGCCATATTTAAGCTTAATCGATACTCGGTTTTCAATATTTAGTCTTTGTCTAATAAAACGTAAATTAACCCATTTGCTTTATCGTGGCTATACATAATTCAGTGTAGAAATTTAAATATCTGTTCTTATTAGAATCTGATGAGGTGCAGGATTATAAAATTTATAAATATAAAAATTTCAAATTTATTAACGTCGCTATTCATCATGAAAACTAATAAAAAATTCACACCTCTAAATTAGGAAATATAACCGCTATCGATATTCATCATGGAAACTAGTAGAATAGTTAATTCAAACTTCTAAATTAGAAAATTAACTATTCATCGCTACCACCGTCCCAAATAAAAGACCTAACTCAAACTGTTAAATCAGGAAACTAACTATAAGTACCGTTCATCGTTATCAAAGCAAATGAAAGATCTAACTCAAACTTTTAAATTGGAAAATTAATTATCCATTCTTATTTAAATAAAAGACTAAAAATGTGTCTTACATCATGTACTAAAAAAATAACGAAGCAATGAATGAACTATGTATCTCTGATCAATGAATGTTTCCAGCTAAAAAATGGGTTAATTTACTTGGAGAGAGCAGAAAAGGATCGCAGTAAATGTAAGTTTGTAACGGCAATCTGTCTTTCGAAGAGTTGAAGCTTTGTTCCGTCAGTTACTGGCTCGTTTAGGGACGATCGACAGTGGTAAACGTTTGTGTCGTCGTCGAAAGCCAGCAGGTTCAGCCAGATGATGGATCGTGGCCTCGTTTGCATTCAATAACTCCCATGTTCCGGTGTATTTTCGATTTGCCATTCACCACAACCTGATTATCGTCGTTAACGCATTTAATTCGCCTATCCACTCGTCGTCGCGCTCTCGTGATCGATGCGTTATTAATTATCGGTACGACAAACGCAATTAGCGGTCGGTTATCACGCCATAGACTACACCAGTCGATTTGTCCTGGCACAATCTTCCTAATGAAACAAATTCTCCTAATGTCACACGTCGATCTAGTCAATTCAAATATCAAAGATCATGCTTTAAAACAAATTTCATTTTTTAAAAACATGTTTACTCATTTCCGAAATTGGCACGCGACTATACACTGTTTTGCACGATTGTAAGTTAGCATTGATTAAATAGACTATTCGCTGATGGTCAGACGAAGATCATTGTATCAAATTCAGTGTGTTGGAAAGCAGGACACAGGTTTGTTTCACCAGTTCCATTAGCGTTTATTCGCTGTTTCAGTGATGTAACTTAGGACTGATCAAACAGCGGCTATTCGGTAATCAGATTCACAGTGTGTTCGTGGTTTCATAAGCAGAATTCTACCGCAGGTTTGTTTCACTAGTTCCATTAGCGATTGTTCACTGTTTCGCAGTGTAACTTAGGATTAATCAAAGCGTGAGTGACTATACACTGATCAGATTTAAATTGAGACTGTGCTCCATAAGCAGAATTGTAGCATGGGTTTGTTTTACTAGTTCAATTAGTGAATGTTCATTGTTTTGCAGTGATATAATATACGATTAGTGAAACAGTCACTACATGTACATTGATTCAGAGTGTCTTGTTGGTTTCATCAGTAAAATTCTAACACAGATTGGTTTTTGCTAGCTCAATTAATGAACGTTCATTGTTTTGCAGTGATATAATATACGATTAGTGAAACAGTCACTACATGTACATTGATTCAGTGTCTTGTTGGTTTCATGAGTAAAATTCTAACACAGATTGGTTTTTGCTAGTTCATCTAGTGAATGTTCAGCTAGTGTTGTTGGTTTTATAAGCAGAATTTTTACTCAGGATACGAAGAGTATTCATGAAATATTTCATTTTAATTTATCGTCCTTTAGTTAAACTTCTATCTGGTCTGTTTACAAGAAAAATACGTTTAAGCGAGCATAAAAGTTGGCTGGCTCGTTCGAGAAGGCTATTAAGAAATCTAAGATCGATTTAAAAGTTAAATTGACTTGAGCCTGAAAGGTGCAACGTTTATTCAAGACAGAAATTATGAGCAAAGTGTCGAGACACTTTTTTGAAATTTCATTTCAGAATCTAGCCGGTTTCCGCGTCGATTCCACGGCCGGAATTGAAATGTTACGTTTAATTGAAACACCAGCACAGTATTTTTACTGTCAACGATGGGAAACGAACATGCAATCAGCTTTAGAGTTATAGTGTTTTTTCGGTCATGCGAATCCGCGTTCAACGTTTAATCCGGTTCAGTCAGTTATTCAATGGATGAAAGATTAACATTCTCTATAAAACTATTGCCGGACCATTCAGCGAACAGAATGACAGTGAATATAAGTTAGTCAAATATGGATGTGAATCGAAAAGCCGGCTTAATCGAGCTCGCGA